GTGGGATGTGGCGGGGGTTGTCAGGTCAGGACTGCAGCGCCCTCGCACGCGCCCTCGCACGCGCCCTCGCGCGCGCCCTCGACTCACCTGGTCATTCTTCGTGAATGGTCCCTTGTACACGTCGAAGCGCTGGGAGCCCGAGTTGGCAATGACAAAATTTGGCGTGGATGCGCGAGATGGGTTGGAGGTGGATACGACGGTGGGGAGCACCTTGTTGGAGAGCAGGTTGAGCAGGCTGGACTCCGACGAGGGGGCGACTCGATCGAGGTAGTAGTCTTGCGGAGCGTTGCCGTATACTGCCAGAGAAGGAGGGGGCATGTCAGAAAGGTTGGGCTCAATCTCCCACGAATGCGACATCTAGAACCTCATCTCTCGACCGGCTCTAGCTGCACACCACAAACGCACCTTGTGTCAGATTCCAATCCCTTGCAACCTTGCCCATCTTGGCGGTGATCAAGACACCTTTGGGCGTGTCGAAGCCAAGTTTGGGACTGGGTAGACCGGCATGGAAAGCATAGTTGCGACGATTGGCATCGATGTACGAGCGCGAGAAGAAAGTCTTGCCCGTGTCGGTCAGATTCGCAGCGAGCCAGCCGATGGTCTCGAGGTAGCGACCGCTCTCGATGCCGACGGCATTGTCATCGTACTTGACGGCATCGCGAATGTGAGTGTGACCACCGGCGATCAAGATTGGCGTGGTGGGGTGAAGTGCTCGAATTGGGGCAATGACGTCTGGCCACTGGTCTCGCCGGACGGGCATGTGACCAACGAGGAGGAAAAAGTCTGGTCGATCTTGGATGGCTTGCTGGAACCAGGCCTCCTTGACCATGTCCGAAGGGTTTTGCACCGTCAATCCGGCATCTGCGCCGGTAAAGTCGAACAGCACACCGAGACTGGTCACTTTGCGCTTGTGCAAGGGTGTGCGGAACTTGACCACGCGCTCGCCCATGGGCACAGAGACGTTCTTTGCGCCAGGAGCTGAACTTTCGGGCAGCGTAATGTTGACGTTGGATGCGAGGTATCGACCGTGCTGGGCGGGTACAAAGTTCTTGTACGTGTCGAGAGCATTCTCGTACACGTACAGCTCGTGATTGCCGACGGCCAACACGTCAAAGTCGACCAGACTGTGGAATTGGTTGGAGACGTGCGCGTCGGGCCCTTGTCCCGCGGGGTAGCCATCCGACAATCCTGCGCCATCGTGCAGATCCCCGCTGTCCACCACCAGCAGATCCACTCCACGCAGCAGCGCCTTTGCTCGCACGTCTTGGACGCGCGGGCGGTTGAGCAAGCGCGCGCGATATGGACACTCAGTGACTCGTACTCGCGCAAGCTATACATATGGACACTCTGACTCGCGACTCACGAGTGACGAAGCTGGCAAAATCTCCCCAATCGCCAGAGTAGTTTGGCTCGGGCTGACTCGCCTTCAAGTGACCCTGATACCAGCCGTGAATGTCGGTGGTGGCTACGATGACGACATCGCCCCAAGTCAAGGGTCTGAGCAAGCTTGTGCCCCCGCTCGGCTGTGTGGCCATACGGTCCGAGCGTCGTTCCAGCGCTGCTGCGTGATCACCGCCGCACGCTGCAATGAGCAGGGGCAGGTGAGCCAGCGTGACCGCAAGGGCCGCGCGCGCGAGGGAGAACATGGCGGGGGGGGGGGAGGGTGGGTGTGCGCGTGGGTGTGGGTGTGCAGGGATGATGGTGGTTGCGTGGGAGGAGCGGCAGCGCAGGCCTGCCTGCCTGTGAGCGACTTGTGCTGAAGGATGGCAGGCACGGTGGAGAGAAGAAAGAGTCGTGAGTTACGAACGTGCGCACACGACATTCACGATTTCGAGCATACAGTGAAAGCACCGGCGGCGGCAATGCCGTTTCATACTCCGCAATCGCGCTAGCGCCGCTCGCTGCGCGTGCCTGCTGATGATGCTGCCGCTAGCTGCTGATGCGTGCTGCTGCTGCTGCTGCTGCTGCTCCCTTTGCTTGCTGATAATGCATACCGTTCGACCCGGCGGAAAGAGGAGCAGGCGTGAGGGTGCGAGTTTGAATTTGAGTTTCAGCGTGAGCGCGAGCCCGGGCCCGGGCCCCGCTCGCGTGGTGAGCCATCCACCCCCATGGCGACACGCGCGAGACTCGAGTTGTCACTGTCGGCCACACTTCTTTGTGAGATCGCGAATCTCGATTCGTGACCATGAAGGGCAGCTCATCCTTACGAATGCATGCGAGACGGGGTGCGCGAAGGCTTGCCTGTCCCAGCTCGCAGCAGCGATCACATCGTGACGATCCACTCTCAACTCAGCACCGCGACCGCCACCGCGACCGCCCCTGCGCGCTGGGATGCAGCGTCGCTGCTGCTGCTGCTCGTGGATGCTCTTCTCTCCCACTCACGCGCAACACCATTCGTAAGACATGCACGCGCGCGCGACTCACGCCTCAGACTGGATCACCAGCGACGATATGATCAACACGCGCCTCGTTGATCAGCCGCCAATCACAATTAAGAACTCGGCACTGCCACTCCGCGGAGTGATGCGCGCGCAGAAGGCAGGTCGCCGATCGCGTGCTGGCGACGGGAACGGAATCGATTTTGCAATCCCGCAATCGCACCGAAGGTTTGCCCCCTTATCGCCCCCCTGCGTCGCATAGGCCCATGCATCATACACGCACTCTCGACTGGTATATGGGCATCACAAATGCATCCATCCCGGGGGCCCACAAATGGCGCGAGGTGAAGGCACGCCTCTTCAAGTCGTGAGTATTCGTAATTGCTGTGTGTCCCGCGCAAGCGCATTCGTTCTCGCAAAGTATCGCTGGTCGCACCGAGTGTGCGGACAGCCAGCTGGCTAGGTATGTCAGCAGTCTTTGTGGGCGCCCCGTCCTGGAAATCACATCGCCGAGTGACCGCGGACGGCGCCAGCCGACCCCCCTTCGTCGTCGACGCATCCCCAAAGCTGCACTTTGAGCCTTCAATGCAACAGGACCTTCCTGGCGCGAAATGACGCCTGTCGTTCGAGGCCACGCCATCCGCTGCGATACTTTTTGCACCTGCAACCCCGATCTTGTCTCTGCGTACGTTGGGGCGCGACACATGTGCGAAGCTTTCCTCGCGCTTCGGATGAGAACAGCAGAGAACGGAGTTGAGCTGCTTTTCGGTCGCCAATTCTCTCTGCGCAAAGAGATGAATGAAGCTCAGATCAATCACAATGAATTTGGTCACTTTGGATCCCGCGTATGTGCGATACCTCGAACCGCGCGGCAGCTCCCAAAGTGTACCGCTGACGACGAGCGCGCTTCCACTTTGGGCTGCCATGTGTCCGCGACTGCTCCTGCATGCACCTTTATTGTGAGTTGCAATGCATTACGTAGGGTGTAGACTGGGTGCATCGCACACTCTGCGCTCCGCCCGTGTTTGACCTCAAAGGTCCTCTCACCATTTCCTCTCCTCGATGCCTCGATGCTTGTGCCTGATTGGCTGCTTCATGACGGCGCAGAAATGCTCTCTCCAGCGCGCTACGTGGTGCGACAGAGCAGGAAATAGCGGTACGACGGTGCGGTCTGCGCACGCAATCTCTATTGCGACACGCAGCGTGGGGATACGCAGCGTGGGGATACGCAGCGTAGGTATACGAGTTCCCAACGAGCCTGCAAAAAGGCAATCGCGGCTGCGTCTTGGAAGCTTTAGATTGCGCTCGCACTCTGGTCCCGAAAGTGTTAGAATGGCGCTCGCGCGAGCGCATCTCTTCGATCGATGCGATGCGAGGCATGCCTCGCAAATCGCGGTGGTTCACCACGTAGCAGAAGTGAGCGCCTCTTGAACCCTCGCAAAGGTATAAAGAGCAGCGTCTTGAAGGGCCCATCTCTACTCGCTCCTCGCCACATTCGGCTACTTCATCCCCACTCGACGAACACCTCTTGTAGCTTTACCCAAATCTCGATGATGGCGCTTCGCGCACTCTCGTTGCGCATAGCGCTGCTGCTTGCAGTCGCTATCGCTGCCGTGCGTCCTGCCGCAGCTCTACCGCTAGCATCATCGGGTGAGCCTCACTCGAGCCTGCTCGACAGCCGCCTCGAGCGCGCGTGCAGTTGGCAAGAGATGCGCGTTGGCAATTGCTACGACGGCCGTTCCACCGAGGCTACCGACGCGCTTGCGGAACGGGCACCCATAAAGACCGATGACTTGAATGGTCACCAATCCACATCACTGCTGTCTCGAAGCGGTGCTTCTCGTAGCCCAACCAAGTCCAGCATGCTCGACAGCCGTCTAGAGCGCGGATGCAGTTGGCAAGAGATGCGCGTTGGCAATTGCTACCGCAGCATCATGGACGAGCTCAGCGGTGCCGTGCAAGCACTGGCCAAACGAAGCACCGCGGATCGTCTTTCGAGACGTGAGTAGGCTTCGTGTGCAAAGTGCTCGAGGTGCCACGGTGGAGCCTAACGGTTGCTGACATGAGCGCCTGCCTCGACAGGTGATGACCACGACCCCACTACGCTAGATTCTCGCCTCGTTATGACCCTTGGAGAGCGCGCGGCAGCCTCTCTGGTCGTTCGTGACGACTATGCGTGCTACTGCCTCTCCCATCCCAGCGAGTGCTCATGGCAGGGGCCACCCGTGATTTGCCCGCCCTCCGTCAGAGACGATCGCGCCGACACTGCACTCGTGCATCGCGCCACGAACGCCGCCGTAGAAAGTGGCACCATCTCTCTGGTGCCTCGCGATAATTCGCAGATCTGTTATTGCATCTCGCACCCAAGCGAGTGCGCATGGCATGGACCACCCGTGAATTGCCGCCGCTCCATCGCAGAGTCCCACCCCTTGTCTCGCATTGCGGAACAGATCGAGCTCGAGCGTCGCGCAGACGAGGTGCTTGCCGCTGACACTAGCGCCGAGCCGAAACGAAGACTAGTTCATCACGGCTACTGTTACCACCATCCTACTGCTCCAAACTGCGGCGGTCCAGGCAGGCGAGGCCTCGTCGGTGCAACAAGAGTCATTGACGATTTGCGCGCAAGGCTCGTCCGACGTCTGCAGCCGGCGTACTGCTCCTGGGATCCGACAAACGCTGGATGCCACACTGCGGACCCGCCCAAAGTCTCTGTTCGCTCGGTAGTAATCGAGGCGCGGCAACGAATCCCGGTCTACTGCGAGACGCATCCTACTGCTGAAGGTTGTGGACATGCCGGTCTCCAAGCCTCTGCAATGGGGACGCAGCAATTGAACCCTATCTACTGCGCGCAGCATCCTAAAGCTCCAGGTTGCGGACACCCCGGCAAGCGAGACCTGGCTGCAAGAAGCGCCGCCACCATCCTTCAACGCCAAGAGGAGTACTGCCTATACTTTCCCCATGATCCTGATTGCCAGCCCAAGGAGCCGCCTGGACACGGTGGAGGTGGAGAGCACCCGCCCAGGCGAGATCTAGCTAGCGTTGGAGACGAGACTGCCGAGCTGTCGCGACGTCTTGATCCGCCTACTTTTTGCTCGACGCATCCAGACGCACCGAAATGCAAACCGCCGCACAAGCCGCCGCACAAGCGCAGCAGCGGCGATGGCGCAAAAGCTTCATTCGACACGAAGGAGGAGGTGGACCGACGCGATGGACCGGGGCCGTTCTGCCCCATTCATTCTAACACGCCCGAATGTCAGGGAACTAAGCTTCCCCCACGAAAGCGGAGCAACAGCGGCGGCGGCGGCGGCGGCATCGGCGGCGATGCAGGAGTGTCGTCACTCCCACAGACACGTCGAGAGGAGCCTTGTGAATACGGCAATGATTGTCCCGACTCGGGCCCAAGCAGACGAAGCAATAGTGCGATGCCAAGTGTAGACGTAAGTGCTCGCGAGGTGCAGCACGAGCACAGCAAGCGCGACGATGCTGCGACGCTAGAGCGACGTCTGCAGAAGGCTCCTTGTCCACCCAATGACCCTCTCTGCGGCTACGCGTCTCCACCTCCCCCAAAGAGGGGCGTCAGCGACGAGAACGATGCCGCGACGCTAGAGCGACGTCTTCAAAAAGCTCCCTGCCCACCCAGCGACCCTTTCTGCAAAGGCTCTCCGCCGCGCAAGAGGAGCGACGGCAAGCGCGATGACGCCGCAACACTAGAGCGACGTCTTCAGCAACTTCCCTGCCCACCCAACGAGCCTCTGTGCAACGGCTCTCCGCCGGGAAAGAGGAGCGACAGCAAGCGCGATGATGCCGCGACGCTGGAGCGACGTCTCGCAGCGAATCCCGCTTGCCTCAAAGATCCCACTAGCAATGCCTGTACGGGAAAAAATCAACCGCCTCGCCGCAGATCGAGTCGCGAGGTGGAGTCCG